TAGATAGCCTTAGCATTCAGGGTTCCTGAGTTCCTGAGTGATTTTTGCCAGTGAACCCACTGCTCAGGTCATGTCTTTCGTCTCGTCTTTCGCTTTGCAGCTTCCGAGCTCTCCCTTTGACCAGCCAGCAGGCGGACGGAAGTGGTGTTTAGATCCGCAACTAGCGAGAGTTTATGCAAACCCAACTTTCGGTTTGGAACTTTATCCGCCTCAGGCCGGACATTGGAGCCAAAGGCATACTTCTCAAGATACTCTATGGCAAAGATGGGTCTCATCGATCAGTGGCAGCCTGGCAACCATTTGGAGCAACAGCTGCACTCTCCAGCTGCCAGTGCCAATTCCAGGGAGTTGCGAGGATGTTTACACTCAGGTTTGACAACACTCTCTTCAGAACAACCTTCGGATTTAGCCACCTCTACACCACAGAGGCCTTCTTTTGGCCATGGAGACACGTGCGGCCTTGAATGCGCTCGAGTCGCAGGAAGCCATTGCCAGAGTTGCAGCTGGAGAGACCGACGTGCCAAGGCGCATATGCATGACATCAGAAAAAACGATGTGCTTGTCATTGTATGTCATGAAGAACTCTGGTCTCAGGAAATTGGTCTCTCATGTATGTCATGAAATTTCAAGAAGCCTTGGGTTCCCAGGAACTCGCCTTCTCACAAAAGGCCCAGCTTGCCAGAATCTTAGAAGGGACGCGAGCTTTCTCACAAAAACTGTCGGTTTGGTTTTGACACGCACAATATTCACAATCAGTTGGATAAGGGTCAAAGCCGGTCAAAGCTGTCCGTTTCGTCCTAGGTTTACTCTGGTTGTAGGACCAGTTCTGATCTCTCTTTGCACAATGGCAGTGTGCTTAGTTCGGTGTGGCAAGTTGCTTGGGATGTAGTTCAGATGCGTGCTGCGGCCACAGTGCAGAAAAGTTAGTTCAAGGGTGCACCATGCAGAGACATTTGACTGAGGATTGTGAGGTGGATGTGGTGCAATTTTTGTGCTGCGAGCTGTACTTAGGTTTTGGTGGTCCTTTGCGGGGGCTTGAGTCTTTCAGTGGCTTGACACGCAATTTAAAGTATGAAAGCCAGTGAAAAGGATGACTTTGGCAGTCATAAAGAAAAGCATCTTATGCAATGGAATCAAGAGCGCGCGCATTTTGTCAGCTTTTGGGTCGTTATGGGAGTTCCACAATGCTGGTAATGCAACCCTGGACAGATTGCATTTCCAGCCTCCTTGAAAGGATTTCAAGAGGGACATCGCTTTGCAGAAAAGCGGTTTCTCTCTTCTTTTGTTGCTTACATTCAGATCGGTCGCTTGGAGCGATCTCCAGGTCGCGTGCTCCACATCCTCCACCCTTTGCAGCGACTTAGTGGTAAAGCAGGTTTCAATAGGTTTTGTTTTTTTTTGAGGCCGGGACGAGGAGGGGGTTTCTTAGGGGCTCATTGATTCGGCTCCTAGATTTCTAGGGACGCCGCAGCGGCAACGGAGCAGCTTTGCCATGCCTAAAGGCTACAGGTGTTTGATGTTCCCAGATTCTCTCTCGCTAGAGCAGCATGCTTGGAGGATGATGGTAAATATGCTGCATGCACCTGCTACGACAGTTGGTGATGATTAACATTTTACCCTGAACAACTTGATATTCGGAGCCGGCTATGTGCCTGCACCAGCTGAGTCAATTCCCCAAAGACCATGCAAGAAACAACCGCTTACAAACTGCAAGATCTAAGTTGAACAAGTTGACAACACCAGGAAGCAAGGTTTGTTGAAGTACTTGAGGGTTCATGCTGGAATTTGATGCACAGTGTTGCTTCGAACCAAACGTGTTTGGCTTGCTTGCTGAAGGTTCTTTTGTGGCATTGCTGCGGCATTTGTTTACCGAAGTGAACATAAATAAACGACATCAAACGACAAAGAAGGAACCCATTCATGTTCTGAGACTTGCAAGCATAGGCAGGCAGCAAGAGGCAGACTTCGGGAGCTTCCACTGGCACTTTGCTGGATCGGCTAAATCGACACAGGTACTTTACAAGCGCAAATTGACACCAAGTACTTGCGGAAAATGACGTAACATGAGGTTCTCCTGCTTTGCTTGACCAAGGCTTGTGCAACTTTGGCTTCTTTGTCTCGACACCTGCGACTCATGTGTGTGGCTTTGTTACGCCGCTTGTTTGCAGAATCGTTGACTCGCAACCTCGCGCAACCTCAATCCAGTGAAGCTGCACACGGGGCACACGAAGCCTAGCAGCCCACGGAAAAATTATGAAAGATGATGAAAGTTTGGCTCGTGGACTGCTTGAGGCAACCGACATATCGTTTGTGGCAGCCTTTCAAGGGTGGACACTTGCACGTCATCTTCCAAGCCATAGGCTGGAGTGCAAAAGATGCAGATAGCCTCATGAGTCCATGAGGTCCACAGATGCCGTCATGAGTCCCATAATGGTTCTTGCTCCAAGAGTTACTTTCAAATCACTAAAACTCAGGTAATACAGGATGACACGATTCAGAGATCGCATCTTTGGTCTTCGACAGACAAGCCGGTGGACCACCTTGGGGTTTGTCGATGGATTCCATGAAAGACATATATAACTGAAAGTCATTGGCCTGTCGCTTCAACCGTTCCATGCATTTAGCATTGGATTTTCTCGGACTGCTGATTTCCGCAGGCTGGTCAATGTTTGCGGTGCTGGTGCTCCAAGGGTGGGCAGCCACAGACAAATGAGAATCAAGTGCCTCAGTCCAGTGCCGTTGCCACCGTTGGCATGGCAAGGTAGGATAAGCCTGCAGACAGGCCAGGAGGTTTGCAGGAGCTGGTACTGGTACTTGAGAAATTGTTGGACAGCCCTAGTGAGGTCCCTTTTGTGGTTTCTTAGATTACTGTAGCTGAAACCTGAGGCTGACAGACTGGTTTGAGGCGGGCGAAAAGATCATGGAGCCTCTAGGTGGCATATGATTTGTTGATCCAAGTGTCCCCACAGGAAGCGTTTATGCCAATTTATGCCCTGTGCCTCCTTAACGAACTAACAAAGAAGAAGGAAAAGGGATGAGCACCGCGGCATCATGCATTTGCCAGCTTCGACAGCTGAGCTTCCAAGGCTACTCTACATCAATGTCGATCGCAACAAGGCAAACACAGCATGATGACGAAAAAGATTGGGCGCGTTTCACTGGACCCACAGCATTTGATGTACAATTACTGGCTTGCGCACTTCAGCCTGCACCATCTACAAGTCCTGTTGCCAAAGGGCGTTTGCATAGCCATTGGGCGCTGCTAATTTTGGACACACAAGGAGTTGCACCGTCATGCTTTCGTAAACCTTTGTTGTGCACCAGGAAGGCATTTGCTGGCCAACTGCTGCTACTAGTTGCTAGGGTGTTGCAAGACCAGGTGATAAGATATGCCTTGGGCGACATGCATTGCACCGAGAAACGTCAAGCTGCGTTTGTTGGATGTGTTTGCCAGGCTGCCCTTGCGTTGATTGCCCAGGTGCAATTGTTCCCTCTTTCTTTCCCCATGTGTGTTTATCGGAGTGACATTTGATTTACTGTAGCACATGCTTACCTGCATGTGTCCTTTCCTCTAGCTGGATTTCAGTTGCTTGCCGCATTCAGGGACATGTTTTGCCGCCAGGTCACGCTTGGACTGAGCGTGCTTGTGTTCAAGGGGGGCGCTTGGGAGAAAAGCAAAAGTAGCTAAGCGTTTTAAGCGATGTGCATTTCCCCAGGATGGAAGGTCATACAGTGTCCCTTGGCTGTAGACATGTCATAGTGGGTGAGGAGCTTAGACTTAGACAGGAAGTTAATGGAAGTTATAGTTATAGGACAACACAGAAGGCTTAGGCCTAGCACGGCGCTTCTATTCTTCTGATTACGATAGATTACGGATCTTCCGAAACACTGAAGCTGTAGCTCGTGGCACAGCAGCTTCACTTTTGAAGTGCCAGTTTTTAATTCAATGGCCAAAGCTGCATACGTGCATGGCACACTACACGCAATTTGGCACATATTTTGCCTCGGCATTTCTTATATTACCTCATCAAACTGCAGGCCCGCATGGCTGGCAGTTTGCACAGCTGCTTGTGCCCTGGTCTTCCAAACCATGAGGCCATTTGGGTCATGGCATTCCACGCTTTTGGTGCGGAAAGAAGCCTAGGGTGCAAGTTCCGGCGTCAGCCGTTCGAGCTACTGTCAAAGAATGAAGCTCCACATTCAGCACAGCAGTGATATCTTGATGAAGAGTCACTGGGAAAAAGTGTCTCCCACCGAAGACTGGGCAATAAAATGAGGCCGTGACACTACTGGGACCTGTTGATCACTCAGGTGCTACGAAAGACCATGGAAAGCCTGGACCGGAAATGGGAGCACTTAATTGCTTTTGACGATTGTACTGACGCTTACGCTGGTCAACAGCTGTTTGGCCCACGGCGGCGGCACCACAACAGCTGACCTCAACGCAGCTGCCAAAAAGTGCCCTCTTCAGAGCCTAACAGCTTGCGGTACTCATGGATCGGTCTTGCACACTTAGACAGCAAGTCACAACTTACCTTGGTTGTCGCGGAAAGTATATACTGCAGATATCTGTAGATTGGTTAACATGTCTGTGTGGTTCTGACAACAGCTAAAAGCCTAATCAAGGGCAGGATGGTTGAAAACGACTTTGTGATCTTGGCAGAATAGCAGGGCGTATACGGAAAGCATTGAGTACCTTCGACCACTTTAGGTAAGGCAGGTTCGGTCAGGTTCGCGAGGTGAGCTAGTCCAGCCGTCTACCACAACATATCACCGCACTCCCGCAGGACTCTTGCATTTGATACATCAGCGACTGCATGGGCCATGATAGCTTCAGTTTGTCAATGAATTATAGCACCGCGCGGAATATGTCGCATGCACAGCAGACAGTCCTTCCTGGAAGCTTCCTGCTTCCTGGCAGCTCCAATAGCTTTTGGTGAATGAATTGTACATGAGTGGTTTCATCATTTGCAATGACTGTCTACAACACACATCCTCACTCTGTACCTCCAGCTCACTTGCTTTCCACGACGTTTGAATGGGGGCATGGCATTGGCTTCGCTTGGCCGGAATTGCTGGAGTGAGTGCGCTTACGCTTGTCCATTGTGTCTCGACAGGTCCCGAACCATGACATACTACACATGATCATGTGACTATGTGACATGAGCATTAGGTCGCTATTAGGTGGAGGCCATCGTGGATAGTAACAAGAAGCTACTAGAATCCTCATGTGACAATATATGATATATAGTAGGGTCAGATGCCAGATGATCCAACACCAGCGAAGGGAGTCGGAGTATGAAGAAGCTAGCAGAGGGGGTGTCAATTGCTCAAAGGCGTTCCTCAGAGCGTTAGCCGAACACGCCACATGACACCGAGGTTTCTGGTGGCCCCCACCCAATGAGAGGCATATGCGGCACGAGCCCCTGGTGCCATTGACGGAGTCCTCAGCTCCCAGTGTCAGCGTCAGCAACATCACACCAGCCACATTTTCCCAGCCGCAGGGGGAGCCAGGCATCGGCAGAAGGAAGCCGGAAAGAGCAGACATCGGCGTCGGTTTGCAGAGCCTACAGACGTTGCAGGGAAAGAATTTGATTCTGGCAGGTGATTCCAACGACCGTCAGTTTTTCCGTTTTCTTTGCCAACATTTAACTGGCCGCTTCGACGGAGTTCTGGTTGTGGACAAGATGACCAACGAAGAACCTGGTGAATATCGCGGCCGGCTGACCTGGCCAGAGCAGGCGAAGACATTAGTTTGCCACGACGAAGCTAGAAATGCAAGCGTGGTGTTTCTTTTTCATTATGGCCTGTTCAGTCTTCCCCCCCAGCCGCCATGGTACTTGGACTTTGCTAAGAGAAGAATGGGGACGCACTTCCTGGGCATTCAGGGCAAGGCAAAGATTGTGCCCAGCACAGACCTTGCTAAATTTATTTGGCCTCAAATCATTCAGCAACATTTGCCAAGCAGGCCATTGTTGCTGCTTGTCCAGTCCTCCATGTGGGATGCCTTTGCAGTCCTTGAAAGTTTGACTGGCAAGCGAGTTTCACAGATGAACAAGCTAGATGTGCAGACTCTGTATTCTGTTGTGTTTTCACACGAGAACTTAACGCATTGGGGATGGCTGCAGCGTGCCTCTGAATTTATTGGGATGATTCTAGAAGGGGTCCACAGTCAGGGCATGCTGGCTACGGTTCTGTGGCGTACCAACCCGAACTGTCCTGCCCTGCCTGAAGAGGGCTCAGTCACGGCAAACGCCTTATCTGGTCTTTTTGCTGACGCTGTTAGGGCAGAGATCCTTCAAGGGTCAGCTCCTTGGGGAGAGATTTGCCTTGTGGATTGGCGGAAGAACTTGGAGATCCACAGTCCGAAGCAATGCGACAAACATCACTACACTAAAGAGGGCTATGCTGCGTACTTGTCCTCTCTGAAAGGGTGTGTGCTGATTTCCCCGTTGGCTGAGCAAAAAGTGGAGTACGAGCATGTCCCATGTGCATGAACGGACTTCGATGCATATATTTATATATAGAGAGGGTCCTAAGTTCGCGATGCTTTGCAGCAGTAGGGCGTGCACGCAGCAAGGAAGGCTCAACTTATTTCAAAGAGTTGAGAGAGTGACATAGAACAATGTCAGACAAGAGAGAAAAGACAACCCATTGGTACAATTATTGAATATTGGGTGCCAAACCCTGCATTTGCCCGAACTCCAACGTTTGCAAGATTCGTGACTAAAAATTTGCTACTGCTAGGATGCTACCATTCAACATTTGCTTCGTTGTGCCTTTGCCAATCTTTGCCACGTGGGCTGCCCTGAAAATCAGGCGTGGGTGCGCAACGTGGTGAAAAACCACAGAACTAGGTAATTAACAAGAAGCTACTAGTAGCTCCTGGCATTACTACTAGTAGCAAGAAGCTAATAGGTTGGAGACCATCGCTTCTAGTAGCAAGACGCTACTTGAAACCGTTAACTTGCGAAGGCCCAGTCCATGGCGTGGCTCTTTGGAGCCTGGACCTTCGACTTTCGGATTTGTCCCTTTTGGCGCACTTGCGCGTGTCCCAACTAGGCCGCTGGTGGCCACTTGACTTTAGCCGGCCGTGAGGCTGGTGTTCTATTCCTTACACCTTGATTCCTGTGGTACTTAAGCAACAAGCAGATGTCCTCGCCATGTTGCAGCAAGATTTTCCATCACTTTGTGGACTGTCCCGATTTTCCAAAGAAAGGTCATCCAAGAGAGTCTCCTTGCAGATGGTGGCTTCGCCTATGTGTGCGACACGGGCCGACTCAGCAATCTTCTTACAAGTCCTATTCACTTCGCATGGAAATGTAGAAAGTGCCAGATTGTTTATGATCTTGCTGACTCACCGTGTAGATTTCAGTAAGCTTGAAACTACTCAAACTGACACGTGAGGTACAGGGGTTCAAGCCTTAGTGTTGGGAGCGCACAGAAGCACAGTGCAGACTGCTTCCTTGACAACACGTCCCAGAGACGTTCATAGATATCCTTCAAGTTCTTCAACAGCTGCTGAAACCATCTTCAATATTTTCACCGACTTTGATACGATCACAGAGGGCTTCCCCTACAGCGTTCTGATTGTGTGTCGCAGGCCGAGATGCCCAAAGTGGTGAAGCGGTAGCCATCCGCAAGGCTTTGCTACAGGACTCTCAGGCTCTTTGGAGACACCAATCACTCTCCAATTCTGCATCCTTTGGCATCCAACTTGGCTCTTTATTTGTGGGCTGCAGACCAGGCACAGCAATCAGCGCGCGTGGAGATGGCACTTTTGCAACGCTTGCCGCAACCCTACAGACCGTACACACCCTGCACGTGGGAAGTCTAGGTTATGGAGAGAGGAGCAGGTTGGGGATCCTGTTTGGCATAATTAGGAGGTGATTCACCTGTCAGCAGGGTTTAAAACCCCCAAAGCCTCCCCGCAGCATATCCACCTTCAGGCCAGAGCATCAGCACATCGTCCGCTTCCTTGGGGCCGAGATCTTGGAGGAAGTCGGTTCCACACGAAAACTGCAGGCCATCCAGGGAGCGGATTGCTTTGCCGTCGCTTGGTGTCATGCCAGGGCCCATTGAAGGCCCCAGGCCGAAGTTGAACCCATATTGAACTCAAAGAGCATGTTGGTTGGCAACTGCATGAGGGCTTTCAAGTGTTCTTAGGGACCTGGCCTGTTCTTTGTTTCCCTCAACGGCCCGTTTGGTCGGTGAAGCTCGCAGGCCATTTCTCTCTTTGAGCTGTGTTGAGGGCTGAGCGGAGGAACATGGAGAGGGCGAATCGGCGACGAAGATGGGCCCCCATCGACGACCACCCTGGGAGCGCTAAGTCTTTCTTTGGCGTTTGCGTGCAAAGCATGTCCTTTCCAGTGGGTATGTGAGGGTTCATGCTGTTCCGTTTCGGCAGCACTACGACGGGTTGAAGTTTTTGTTTGTGAGATCTCGTGAGTCTTTTTATGCGCGAAGTCTCTCTTTGGCATCGGCACGTAATTGGATTGTAAAGTGCTCGCTTTCGCAGTAACCTTTTCAGGTGTTGAATGTTCATGGATTTTCTATGATTTTCGTTTTGCTTCTCCAATTTCAGGCACTGGTGGAACCTTGTTTGCAAGGTACCCTGGCTGCACTTTCGGCACACTTGGCCTTTAGTCATCTGGGGAAGCGGCTTTTGCACACCAGGGTAGAAGCTGTGAAGGAAAGAGCTTGCCGGGCTACAGGCAGAATTGACATCCATTTGCACATAGTTTTTGGAAAGCGCATGAGCTGCCAGGAGCTCCAATGCGATTCTGCTGTCCGCGGCCCTGGTCATAGAGTTGTTTTGCATTCAGCCTGCGCAGAGTTTCAAAACAGCTTGGTCATAGAGTCATAGGATGTGATAGGGCTTTTGGAGGCCCTTGCCTGCCGGAAGCGGAAGTAGTAGCTGTGCTTGTGCCTCAGTATACAAGTCATTTTCCTTTTGACTGGACCATCGACCAGTTGGGTGTGCTCCCAGCTGTGCACAGAAGGTTACAAGCCGGAGCGTCCGCTCTGAGCCATTTGCATGCACATCGTCACGGCCTTTGTGAACAATTCAAGTCGTAGATGTCATAGGACCGTGGGATTCTGGAAAGGTGCAAGAGAAGATTTTGCGGAAAAGGTTGTGCATAAAATTCTAGTTTTTGTGCATGCAATGAGGCATAATTCATTATGATGTCAAGAGCGAGAACCTGATGCTGGGCCCGGCAGCCTTGATCACTCCAGTCAGAGAGGTTCGTGGTCCTCGGCCGTAGTTCCCAGCACACCTCCACACCCCCAAGTGTCATAGTCATGGACTCTGAAGAAACTGAATGGTAGATGCGCTTTGAGAGGAAGCCTTGCAAGGTTCTGATGGCCTTTGGAAGCTTGGGGACTTTGGCTCTGCAAGCCGCTGGGCGTCGATGATTCTGGTTGACTGTGCATGGTAGATGTCCAATCCTTGTAGGCTTCGACAAACCACTAGGATGGGCAGTAGTTTGACTTGTTGAAATGCTGATGGATTGCCCATGTTCTACAAGTAGATCGTGACACGAGGTTCTCGCTGTACACCTTTTCGTTTGTGCGCTTTGTGCCATGCATTGCTCCCCCTAAAAATGAGTAGCATTCAGCATGACGCATGGAAGTTGCCCCATGACGCTTTGTCTAAGTCTTCAGTCTAAGTCTTTGTGCGTGGAAGTTGCCCTGGGAACATCAGCCAGCATCCTCATGTTGCTCCGATGCGACGTTGTGGGTTGCATTCTCAAATGGAATTGCCCGACAGAGAACTAATTTACTGGCACCTAGTCTAGTACACTAGCATACCAATTCTCCACGCAACACAGCCATCCACAGCGCACCTTCACTAGTGAGCTCCTTTCCACTTATGGTTTACCCAGCTCAATGTCCAACAGTTGGTCCTGGATGATGCAGATGCATTTTTTGAGTGGCCATATTACACACTGCACCCATTGCACCTTTCTAAGGTGAGCGAACCTTTGACTTCCAAGGGGCTGCCAGAAAGCTGCTTCTGGAGGTGGGGAAGGGAAAGAGATTTAAAAGCTTAATTATATACAGAAGTGGCCTTAGTGGCCCGTAGGCACTGCTGCATGCCTATCGGCAGCCTGCTGCAGAAGAGCACACCATCGGAGATCCAGATGAGCAGATCCGAGAAGATCCTGGAAATTGTATCTGGGGATTTTGCTGACTGACTCATGTGTAGGGAGGCAAGATTTCCACTCCAGCAGTTGCAGACCCTCGGTCAGGCAGAAGAATTTGTGCACGGACGGTGTACTCCAATCTTCCGTGCACCAGAGGCTGGATTTTTGGGTAAAAGAATGTGAAAGGCACCAAGATAGGCCCTAAGAAGTGCTCAAAGTTACTGTGCTTTAAGGATTTCCATCCAAGACGTCGCTATAGTGGCAGGAATGTTTGCAATTGACTTTCTTTCTTTCACCTTCCTCACTGGTCCACTGCCATGGGGACCGTACAGCTAAAGGTCGCCGATGTCCATCTCAGATGGAGCATCGGCCGGAGCCTTGAAAGCTCTTGAAAGCCATACTGCCAGTTGTTGAAGTCGAGACGTGTTTTTTCAAATAGCAGATAGAAGGTGATGAGCAAACCAGGAAGTCGATACACTATAGCGTTTCCTTGCAGGATAGAGTGTGTTGGAAGATGTTTTCTAAATGCATGGTTTTATTCAATGGGCTTGTTTTACTCAGCGTTCACAGTGTTTTGATTGCACAAGACCTACCGCAAGGAAGTTGGCAGGCAACCCATAGGTTGTTTCTAGAGGTTTCTATAGGCAGCCCATAGGTTCCCCTTCATCTTGGGATTGTGGGTCTCATACGTCCAACCCTCCAAGGGCTTATAGGGCCAACCCTCGGAAGCAGGGTCCTCATGGAAACCTGGCTTCCGCTGTGAAGCGGGCACACTATTGAGTGGCACGAACTTGTGCCAGATGAGGTGTGCCCTTGGGGGAAAGCTTGATTGGGCTACCTTCGCTGGTGCTGCCGGTCTGCTGCTGGTTTTCTGTTGCTGCTGCCTTGCTGCTGCTGGTTGGCTACTGCTGCTGCTGGCGGTTGGCTGCTGTCGGCTTGCTACTGGTTGGCTGCTGCTGCTGCTGCTGGCTGATTGGTGCCGGTGCTGCTACTTGCTGCTTGGTTGCTGCTGGTGCTGCTGCTTGCTGCTTGCTGCTGCTTGTCGCTGCCGCTGCTGCGGCCTGGGCTACAAGGCCTACTCATTTGCTGCCTGTCATTGTCTTGCACGCCCTATGATTATAGCAGGCTTCTTCCATTGCAGACTGGGCATTGGAAACGTGACATCAAGCTTGGTGGCAGGCCTGTTTGGTGAAACGCGGTGCTCTATGCGGAAACAAGTATCGCAAGGACGTTGCCGTGACTTAGTCGCGGCGTGGTGTCCCAGTTTTTGATTGGTTGCCACAGCTGCATTGCAAGGACTTTGTGTTTGGGCGTTAGTGGGCATGGGTCTTCTGGGCAAACGTGTTCATCTCGCCCAATACCTTGCCCACATCTCGCCCAACCCACCAGGCACCAGGACCTCCAGAGGTGTGCGATGGGGATTGCCATTGTCACAACACATATGTGTATATAAGCAAAGGCCTCTTCAATTTACATGGCCCCCCAGGCAAGGAGCGATTTGAAGGCTCATGTTTTCAAGCGTTCATGTTCACATTTTTTGCAGGTGTGCCACGCGGAAGTGTGTCCTGCACAGTCGTTGAAAGACAGGAACGCGCACACACAGACACCAAAGAAGGCAAAACGCAAGCTAACCATGGTTTTTTCGCGGTCTTAGCATACTTCTGGCAGAGATCGGAAGCCGATGTGCCATGGGGACAATGTGGGATTTGCTCCTGTGATGTGGGATTGGTGAAAACGGTGTGCCATGGGATGATGTAGTTTCTAGCCTCTGCTGGTTGGGTGCTGCTGCTGCTCCTGCTGCTGCTGCGCTGCGCTGTTTTGCTGCTGGTGGTCGGCTGCTGCCAGTTGCTGCTGGTTTGCTGGCGCTGGTTGGCTACTATACTGCTGGTTAGCTGCTGCTGGCTTGGTGCTGCCTGCTGTTTGGCTGCTGCTGGTTTGCTGCTGCCGGCTTGCTGCTGCTGTTTGGCCGCTCCTGGTTACCTTCTGCTGCTGTTGGGTTGTTGGTGTTGTTTTGCTGCTGGTTGGCTGCTGCTTGCTGCTGCCGCTGCCGCTGCCTGCGCTACAAAGCCTACTCATTTGCTGCTGGCTGTTGTTGCACAAACCCTATCATTGTGGGAGTGTCCGGTTGTAAACTGGGCTTGGAAAGCATGGTTTTGGCTTAGATGGCCTGTTTGGTGAAGCGCGGTGTCCCATGCGAAAACTAAGTGACTCTGCCGTGACTTAGTCGTGGTGTGGTGTCACAGTGTGATTTGCTTGCCGCAACTGCTTTGCAAGGACTTTCGTGTCTGGGTGGTTACCCTCGAGGTAGGAACTTAAAGGTGGTGCCAACATGTGGGTGAGAATCGGTGTGCCATGGGGGTTGGATCATTTCAGCCCATAGGACACCTTAGAACCCATCAACGTGTAGAAGATTGAATCGCAATGGAATGGTGTAGGTTTACAAACAATCTAGGCTGGGAGAAAAAGTGCTTGTTTCGAAGCGGTGTGCCATGGGGATTGGGAGAGGAATACACACAAGAATGCATAGATATTTTTGACGTTTAAAGAACAATTCCATGCTGTTTGCACTCCAGGTAGAAACTTAAAGCTGGTACCAACATGTGGGTCAGAATCGGGGTGCCATGGGGATTGGATCACGGCAACCCATAGATAACACTTGAAAACATTAACATGTAGAAGGTTGACTCGCAATGGAATAGTGTAGGTTTAGAAACAATCTAGGAGAAAAGTGCTTGTTTCGAAGCGGTGTGTCATTTTGTCCAAATGGGGTAAGTTCTTACATTCGTGGGGTAAGCGGGGTGCCATGGGGGTGGGTCAAGTTCATGTGCGATGGGGTAAGTTACCACGTCGAGTGGCTCTCCAAATTGCGTTGCCATTGGGATTTGCAGTTGAAGTTTTCTCTTTTTGGAAAGGCGAATCTGGAGGACCTTGTTCTGTATGTAGCGTTTACAATGGGGAAGGCCAGCAGTCTTGACTTAAGTACTGACTTTTGCAAATCGGCGTTCCATGGTGGTTTAGTATCCCACATGCAAAATGTATTAACTTCAACGGGCACCAGTAGGTGTCGGCCGCTTTCTGTTTAAGCCAAGTGACACTTCTTTATACTAGTGGTTTACCTGCGGCGCTTGTGGCAACATGTTGGGTAAACGGGGGGGGTTAGCCCCGAACGCAACACACCGAGGGTGAAAAGCCATGTGTTTTACAGGGCTTCGTGGCTTTCCGGACACTCAACTTATCGTCTTGCAACTCATGAGTTGCAAGACGATAAGTTGAAGGCGTTTTGACGGACCCAACTCACCCGCCTGCTCCATGTACAGCTTGCCAAGGCTCATTGTTCAGCCGCCAGACATAAGTCTTGTTCCCAATTGAGCCATTTGAGCTCACTGTACATTTGAGCTGGTGGACAAGTGTCTTGGACAGCCTCGAGCATTGAGTCCAACCTGGATGTTGGCGGAACCACAACGCTGCGAGGCCTTCAACGTGCTGTCGTTGCAGCTTTGCATCGCAGCGGCCAAGAAAACCCATCCTACGCAGTGTTAAAACAAACCTCGAACGTCGTCCTCTAAGCCAAGAAAAGCGGTCACCGAGCGAACGAAAGGTCACCGAGTCGACAAGTCAACGTCAAAGTCGATGTACGCGAGTAGTAACACGGACGAAACTGACCCCAACCCCCCCACCCTGAAAGACCGATCATATATGTTGCCGGCGGGGCTAACCCCATCTAACCCCCCCCGTTGGCACAACATGTTGTTTGGCCTTGAAGTGGGAGATGTGGGCTCAGGTCCCAAAGCAGATATGTTTGCCCTTGGCTCCAAGCTCAGACAGCAACCCTCGATTCCAATCCATGTGGCACCTGCCTGACATTGCTGGTGGATCAAATCTGGCATCCTAACCTTCGCCCAAGGCTGTGTTCTTTTTGCCTGCTTGACTGGCATCCATCCATTTCCGATGGACTCAGCGCTGGCCAACATTCAAGCCACATGGCAAAATTATCAAAAATGCGGGGACGGCAGTCATGTGTGTCCGTGACTTTGTGTCACCATGCTTAGGCCCGCTACCAGGTGCCATCAGAGGCAGAGGACGCCAGATTTTCAGAACAAGAATGAACCTCCGGCCGTTGACAAGAAGATCAAGAAGTGCTCTTGTCGGGAAACTTCTTTCAGCATGCACTTTGGCCAAGGCTTATGCTGAAGTGGTGCTAAGGCATGTTCACAGAACGCCTATGGCATACGCACTCATGCTTTTCCCAGAAGAGAGTGTCGTGCCACCGTGGTGAAAGTCCCGTGCGCGTCTTCTGCCAGGTGGCTGAGAGGGCTCTTGCAACGGCATCCCCTTGAGCGGCCAGATGCCCATCTCCTTGCGGCACAGGCGATGGCGGAGTTTGCGTTGAGAGCAGCTGAATGAGGAAAAGCCGCTATCTATCTATAATATAGCGTTCTGGACACTCTCAGGGACACCCGTTCTGTAAATATATATATATATAGAGCTAATTCATTGCTAATTCGAGATGTTCGAGGGAAGATAGTGGTCCAGTGGTCCAGGTCGCAGAATTCCTCGAGAAGGGCGCCATTCATGAGGAGAGCTCAATTCTGCCAGCCCGCCATAGCGCACACGTCTCAACGCAACACTACAGAAGAAGGCCTCAAAGCAAGAAGCTCTTCCAGAAGAGCCAGACTGGGCTGGGCACCTAGCGACTCAAAGGCAAAGCTCAAGCTGGAACAGCATTGGAACTGCCAGTGAAGCACACTTTTCTTGAACAGAGGTGGCAGACTTCTCCTTCATACCTCAGGCACCCTTGCTGCGAGATGAAAACGATGCAAAACACTCTGGTTTGTTTATGTGTGTGTGTGATACATGTTTGCACTGATTTGTTTCGCGTCCTTCCTTGTCTTCCTTTTCTGGCTTCTATGAGATTCTACGATCTCTTGCACCCAATTGCGCCTTTTGATCCCAATCGTGCGGATGTAAGAGACAGCAGCCCATCCTTTCGACATCCAAAGACGACGGCCTTCGACGGCTCAAAATCCCCGAGCAGGTTGACCATTCTGCAAAGCTTAGCAGCCCAGACCGGATGTGTGGGCCGCAGTGCTGGTATATGTGTGAGTGTGTCCAATGCAATTGAACGCTGCTGGTCAGTAATTTTCTATTCGCGTTTGGGTGCCATGTTGGTTTTGAGTCACCAGGAGTGGCGGAAAGAGTGTCGGGTGAATGCCGCTTCAGGCTAGAATCGCGCTCAGCGAAGGGCCAATTCGGTGGCGGTTCCACCGGCTTGTTCCAGCTTTCCTTGCATTACAAAGTTGTGACATGACATACGGTAATTACCTAATTACTGTATAACAAGTGACCATGTGCTGTTTTCATCGCTACCTTGTGCTGCTTCTTTTTGCTCAAGCTTTGGAAGCAACTTTTTGATCCTGTTTTATCACCGTGGTTGCAACGAAAAGTCCGCGACGATTGCCAAAGGCATGTCGCACAATAACCAGAGCTTTGGCTGGTCAGGTGCCCTCGTGGCGTTCATGTTAGCTTCCGTAGCCCACGCCAACACCATCAAAGTCATGATGCTCCACAACTCACAGCAGAGCAATGCAGGTTGGAAAGAAGGCTTCTATGATTTCTTTGCACCATTTCTCAATGGACAGGGTGGATTCACGATGTCAGATGGCAACACCTACACATTGGATACTATCCTGTGTGAGGAAAGTTTGGACACGAATGCTGTGGCCAAAGTTCAGGCATGTGTGAACACCGCAGTGGCACAAAATGTGGATGCAATCATTGTGGGAACTTCCAGTTCCAATGACGACATCAAGACTGCTGCGGAGGCTGTTGGCATTCCCAACATTCATTGCTCAGGTGGAAATCCGATGTCATGGACGGCTGCGACACCTCATGCCTTCGGAATGCACTTGCCGTTTCCATGGTACTCGCGTGGCCCAATCCGCCAGGCTGCTTTGCTGAATCTCAAGACTGTTGTCATCATGCGGAACTATGAGCCCCTTGACCTTGAAGTCATGTCTTGCTTTTGGCATGGTGCGATGTATACACACAGATGCTCCCAACAACTATATAATTGTGGTTGATTGAGTTAAGTAAGTGACAAACCGGACTATGTCCCGCCACGTCACTGAGTGACACATCTCGGTGCTCCGAACTCAGGTGGGGCTTCCCTCGGATTTCGGCTGTGGCAGCCACCGAGTGGAGCTTGGAGAGCTCATTGCAGGTCATTGGCCCAACCGTTGCTTGGTGCCAGCGCTGGGCCAACATGACACAAACCTGCTCCTTGCGTGGAGGGGCCTGTCGCTGTGGAACGCAGTCAGAGTTTGACAACATGGGTTACAAGTACCAGGTCGGGCCGCTAGGCATACGGTTCAAGACATCGAACTTCCTGAGGTACTAGCTTTTGCTGGCCATATCACTGGTCAAACAGGTGTGCTCACTAGCCACTCCAGAAGCTGCTGTGCATTGTGCATTCAACATGCAATCGTTGTAGCCACATGAGTCAAGTTGCTTTGCCAAACTGTTCGAATATCTTCGAAGGTCGTGCCATAGGCACATGGTTTCCTGGGTTGAATGTCGCCAGGCGGACACAATGCCAAGCTTCTATGAGATCGCTGAGAGTAAAGTCCATGAGGTTGGCTTTGACCCACGCGCTGAGTTCATCTCTCCGGGCATTGTGGAGTTCATCGAAGGTGTGATAGATGATGTTCGCTCACAGGGGGCAGATCCGGACATGGTTGTCAACTGGCTCACAGCAGCGAGGACTGGCCAGTTTCCAAGCATGGAAGGGACAGAATCAAAACCAAATCTACAAGCCTTCTTGAACCAGTTCAAGGGCAGAGTCCAAATGAGAACCACGCGAATGGCTGGTTGCTTTTCTCAGGGAAGCGGCCAAGTAGTACAGCATAGACTCGAGATGTAATGTCAAGTCAGGATTAATAAATCCCCTCCAGTTAATTCGAGCCCACAAAAGCACTGAAAAATTGCCCAAATTAAAAGTATTATTGTTGTGGTTGATTTCCCCCCCAATGGTCTAGCTGGGCACCAGAAATCCCCCCAGTTAACCCGAGCCCACAACCAGGTCAATTTTTCGTATTATTACTACTGCCACAACAACAACAATTACTACTACTACTACTACCACCACTACTACTACTACTACTCCTACTCCTACTCCTGCTACTACTACTGCTACTACTACTACTACTACTACTACTTCTGCTACAGCTACTGCTACTGCTACTAGCTATTGCTGCTGCTACTCCTACTCCTACTCGTACTCCTACTCGTACTCCTACTCGTACTACTACTCGTACTACTCCTCGTACTACTACTACTACTGCTGCTGCTACTACTACTACTACTACGACTTACCACTTACCACTTACCACTTACCACTACTACTACTACTACTACTACTACTACTAACTACCTACTACCTACTACCTACTACTTGCTACTTGCTACTTACTACTTACTACTTACTACTGACTACATACTACTTACTACTACTACTACTACGACTACTACGACTACTACGACTACGACGACTACTACTACTACCACCACTACTACCACTACGATCACTGCCACTACCACTACCACTACGACTACCAGTGCTACTACTTCTATTACTACTACTACCACCACCACTACTACTGCTACTACTACTATTATTGCTTCTACGACTACGACTACGATTGCTCCCTGAGCAGATTATTCAGAGGAGGTGGACCTCATGAATGGTACCTGAGACCATCTAGACCTAGACCTTCCACGTGTGGGGTGTGTGTTTATTAATCCGGTCTTCGCATTACTAAGACTAAAGATGGATCTCAATGCTGATAAAGCAAGGTTTGTGTGTCCAGACCACTAGCACCACATTCTACACGAACTCCACGCAGCAAGTGCCACTCAAGATCGCCCTAGAGTGATGCCACAACTTAGTTGCGACGAGATTCATCCATGAAACTGACCGCCCAACCAACCACATCAATAGCCTGGCCGCAACTCCCAACACCTACCGTCGCCATGCAGCGAGCCCATCAAACAAATCTACAGCCCCAATGGCCTCTTAGCTTCACTCTCACCTTTGGCTGAAATTCTCTCATTGATGCCTATCCCCTGGCCACACAAGAGGTTGGTGTTTATTTGCGCGTTGTTTTGTGCTCGTGCTCTTGCTTGCTTGCTTGCTTGCTTGCTTGCTTGCTTGCTTGCTTGCTT